GCCATATGGGAGTCCAGCGTCCTTAACCACCACGCCACCTGCCAGCTCCGAGCCTTCCTTTTAGAAATACTGACTCTTGGGACAGGTGTGGTGATTAAGGGTGCTGGGCTCCCACATGGCTACTGCAGTAAGAGTCCCCAACCTGGCGATTTGCTTTCTCTTTTTCACTCTCTTACTCTGTCCCTCTCTGGTCTAATTAATTAAAGTTCAATATAAAATAACTCTTAAAAAAAGGGGGGGGGCAGAGGTGGTGTGGTGGTTAAGAGCACTGGACTCCCACATGTGTTACTATAGTTCAAGTCCCTTCCCTTTCTCTCTCTCTGTCCCCCTATGGTCAAATTAAAATAAATCAATTAAATAAAGTTACATAAAAGAAAGACTGGACTCTTTTAGCTTTAGCTTAGTACAGTAGGAGCAGTATGACAGTACTGGTCCATGGTCCTGCCCCTTCCTCAGCAAAGAAAAAATTTCCTCATTCATGTTGGGTCTTTGCCACAAGTTCCTGATGTTCACAGCAACTACAGCAACTAAGAGGCTGCTTAAGAAGGTGAGGGGGCCAGCAGGTAGCGTGGTGGTTAAGGGCACTGGATTCCCACATGGCTAACTGCGGTTCAAGTCTTGGACCTGGTGGCTTTCTCTCTCTCTCTCTCTGGTCAAATTAAAATAAAGTTAATTAAAAAAAAAAAAGAAGAAGAACCAAGGAAAGGACCCCAAGCCAATCAGTCTGCTTGAACCCTAATCTTTACCACTAATTAGTTGATGACCTAGGATAAGGTAGTTCTCTGTATTGGCCTCAGTATCCTCCTGTTTAAACTGGGGAAAAAGAATAGCATTTACCAACCTCAGACCATTACAGGAACAATGTCAGGCCATAGTAAAACACTGGCCACTATTAAGGCAGATTTCAAACCCATTATTTGCAAATCAACTTTGAATATTCACTAAGTTATTTCCAGATAAGTCTGCATTTTCTACCAGAGTTTTAGAAAACATTTCCCAGGTTGATTTCAATTCCCAAGACACACATTTCTTTCTGCAAAATTACTCGCTGAGGGAGACCAGTAGTTGGTATAATGGCTATGCCACTGGACTCCCATGTAGTCGACAGAATGCAGTTCGAGTCCCAGACCCGGTGGCTTAAACTTACACTGGGGGCGTGTGCCTGCATGCCCAAGATCCCGAGAGGAGAATGGAGAAGGGACTGCAGTGTGGCCATCCCTCCTGGGGGGTGATTTCTCGCCTTCTGTCTCTCTGTCAGGCAAGGTTTTTGCTACAAGCCCTGCCCTATAGCAAACCCCCCCCCCCAAAAAAAATGTACTGCCTGAGGTCAGGACAAGCAAACCCTTTCTAGATCCACTGCCTGGTGAGGCTGAGAGAGCAGGGACTGACTAGCCAGCAGAGAAAGGTTTCAGAAGCTCTAAAGATTACCTCCTTTGGATAAGGAATGTAGCCAGCATAGGCCAAGACAAAGGTGCAGAATTTGTTGAAGTCCTCCACAGTCCTGCGCCTCTTGTAACTGGGGGAGTATTCCTGTTAACAGGCAAGAAAAGAGAGTGAAATCTCAGAAACGAAGCAGGCTGAAGCTTTTATTGTCAACCACTCAAACATACATTGCTAGATTGGGACCAGCAGTTAGCGTAACGGCTGTCACTGGACTCCCACGTAGTCAACCACAGTTCGAGTCCCGGACCTGGTGGCTTAGACTCACGCCGG